AAAAATTTCTTCTGTATAGCATGGGGAACTATATTCAAGTACCTTGAAATAACCTTAAATGAAAAAGAATATGAAAACAAATATATGTATGTATATGCATGACTGGGACATTGTGCTGTACACCAGTAATTGACACATTGTAAGTGATTATATTTTAATCAAAAAGATAAATAAAACTCAACAAGAATGGAGTTGGTAGAGTTTCGAAGGAGGGGGAAGTGCAGTTTTAAATGAGGAAAGCTAAATGCCATAAATCAATTTAAATACCAGGTGAAGATGATCAATGTGTAAGAGCATACCATAAGAAGTAAGTTACAGTTACAACAGCTGCAATGCCAGATATTCAGGATAAAAGTTAAAATCAATTCAGTGCATATAATCATTTTAATAACTGTTAAGATCAGCTAGAAAAAGTTCATGTTATACCTTGTATAACTGTAAGCAAAGGTGAAATGAACAGTTTTACATTTATATTTATTTTGGTGCCAAGCAATTATTCTTTCAAGCTTCTAGAACTTCCTGAACCAGCCAAAATCGTTGCATTAAATGTGATCCATACCAGCAATTTGGCATGCAAGTTTGTGTGAGTTTCCTTTTCCACCAAGTGCCTATTTCCCAGGACACTGCTAACTCTGGGTATTTTTTTTTTAACTAAAAATTTCCCTAACTGCTAAGCAACAAAATCATATCACATGATTTTAATTTTTTATTTTCAGTACAGTTGAATACATTTTTACATGCTCCTCAGACTTTCATGTTTGTTTCAGAAATTTCCTGTTTATGCCTCCAGCCCATTTTTCCGTTAGAATACTCATTTTTCTCTTACTGACCTATAAAAGCATTTATATACTCTGAGTATTTATATGCCATGTATGTTCAAGTATTTTTCATAATTGAAAAATTGCATTCTAATTGGTTCAAACAACTCTGGTCTACTGAAGGCCGAGTTAAAAATGATTTATTAGGCTCAGAGCAACAAATGTGTATCTAGCTGACCTCATATACTCATTGGCTTTCAATGGCTCTTCTGTTTACCTCGAAGGTAGAAGTTTCCCCAGGTTCACACCTGGGCCCTCTTTCTTTCTCTCCTTGCATATCTTCCTTCAAAAGTTCAGGTACTTCAGTAGTTTTCATAATTCTAAGCTGGTAACTCCTAAATCTATGTGACAGACCTTGACTCAGTCTACCTTATAAGCCAGTAGTATGGTTTCACCTGCCTGATGAACCCTTTCGTTAATATTTCATTCATTCATTCACCTACTCAAATGCATACAGAATCTCTTGAGCATACCTAGCAAATATGAAGTATTGTGACATTTCATCATCTCAAATTCAAAGATTTCAAACCAAAGTCACCTGCTGCCCCACAAACCATCCTTCCTCACCCATCTCCCTTTTTTGTTTTTCTGCTGTTTTATCTAAAAATGGCATGACTCCTTGCTCTCTGTTGTTACCACATGCAATCAACCTCTGTTCACTTTTCCTCTAATGGC